AAGGAATCTACTGCCAGCCTTTCCAAGAGCTCATGCAGGAGCTGAGTGGTATCCAAAGGCTTTGCATGCCCTGTTGTTATTTGTGATCACTTTAATTTGCTTGGACAAAATGATTTCCCTCAGATTCCTAGAGGTACTGTGTGATTGTCACGTACAATTTGTAGTGCTTGGTAGGGCCCAGAGCAGTTTTCAGAAACCAGTTTCTGTTTGGCAGCAAAGAGTAAAGGGTGGCCAGATGTAAGAGCAAAAGCTTTATGGGCTTGTCATTATTAACAAGCTGAAGAGGGAAATTTGAAGTCTTGTTAATTGATGGAGATGGGTTCGGGCTTTGTGTAGTTGCAAGTAATTCAGAATGTCAAATTAAATTCAGATTGAAGCCCTTTATTATTGCTGGAACAGTTCCATGTAGATCTCTGAATTTTGGATCATAAGAGAATAAACACTGCTTTCATCCCCATTTTCATTCTGGGACGGGGGTTGAGGCACAGAACAAATGCTGGTGGCTCTAAAAATAGCCTGGCATCTGCTCTCCCTGCTGGAGTGGGTTGGAGTAACCCCTTGTTTTGAGCTGGGTTTGGTGCTGCTGTTTCTGAGAGGGGACATTGCCCTGGCTGTGGTGCCAGCAGCTGTGCCAACAGCCTGGAATGTGCCGTGGGAGCTGCCTGTTTGAATATTGGTCAGGTTGAATTAATATGGCACGTTGTGGTAGCTTCTTTTGTTCTTGATACTTTCATACATGTAAGTAATAATGATTTTGAGGGTAAATTTAGTAATTTAGGCTTCTTTTTTATTCAACTGAAACAATGTGCATGCTGAGACTGATTTGTGCTGGGTTTGTGGGTTTTTCGTTTCCTTCCCCATTCAAGAATTTCAACTACACCTTTAAAACTCAGATCCCTGACGTTTGGGTGATGGTAAATGTGATTTTATGCCAGTCTTACTTTTTCATGTGTTCTGGTTTAAGTCAGAGTAGCCAGGGAAGGAGTTACCTTAATGACTGCAACTGTCTTTTCCCTCTACAACACAGCTGTGTATGTGTAGACCTTCTACAGCTTTGCCTTGTGTTTAGGTTGGTGACAGTAGAGATGTTTGAGTTTAGTATCTGGGCATATGATGAATTGCAGCAGCAGGTTAACAAGAAGTGAAGTCAGCACCCCGTTCACTTGGATTTCTTTATCTGAATGTATGGATGGAATAAAATCATATGTGCTGTACTTACTGTTCTGTCTACACCAGGATGGGTTTCCTTTCCTTTCCTTATCATTTACAAATGTTTAAATGACTGTCTGGTATCACCATCACAGCTGACAGGCATTTTCAGCACCTGCTTGCAAATGGCAGTGATAAATAATTCAGCACCCAACTGGGTGCTAGAACACAAGAATAATTCAGGGGTCTCTGCTAGAAGCAGCTAAGCCACACCTGCAGGAAATAAGCACATTTATGATGTGTTCCACCTGCCCACATCAGAAATCAAGTGTATGTTTGCCTTTGGGCATTGAAGAATTGTCTTGGCTGTAATAACAGTTTGATAAGGGATCTTTTATCAAGCCAAGGGGTGACAGAAGTGCTGCATGAACAGTCACATTAAGAATGGAATAATTCCAGGGAAGAGACTGCCCAGGAGGGCAAAAGGAGCATTACCTCCTTGGCATAACCCTGAATTTTCTCTGCTCTTTTCTCTGAAAAGACACAATACAGAGATAAACGTGTTGGGCTTTGAGAGTTCTCTGTGTGTGTTGTTCACCTGGATCCATGGATACATGCTGGGATAATGGGCAAGGAGAAAGTTGTTATACTCTGCTGAGTTCTTTAAACACCGAGAAAACAAGAAAGGGAGTAAAACTGAAATATTACTGCTTTAGTTGCTATTTGAGATTTAAAGTAAAACGAACGTGAGGTGTCTGTGCTAAGGAGCAAAAAGCAGCTTAGTGCCTTCAGTGCTTCCCTTTGGGCTGTTTTTGGAGCTATCTGAGGCTTGGAGCACCCTGCTCTAGTGGAAGGTGTCCTTACCTGTGGCAGGGGATGGAATAAATGATCTTTGGATCATTTGGAGGCCCTTCCAAACCAAAACACTGTTGATTCTTCCCTCCAGCAGTGGGTGAATAAGTAGTTGTGCTACTTAGCCACAAGGAATGGCTATTCCCTGTGTCCTGTCCCTCCATCCCTTGTCCCCAGTCCCTCTCCAGCTCTCCTGGAGCCCCTTTAGGCCCTGCCAGGGGCTCTCAGCTCTCCCTGGAGCCTTCTC